TTACTGCCAACTTGTGAAATTATCTTTTAAGTGCCATACATTTCCAAAGTATTTCCAGGGATTTACCCGTTAATTATCAGTAACGTACAATAATTAGTAACTAGTAGTAACTTCTAAAAGCCCATAATAAGTACTGAGAGGATGCTGGGACTCTGAAAGTTGCATTTGCTCTGACTGGCACAAATGTAAGCTGATTGTATAGTTAGAATTGTGTCTCAGTTTGCAGTTGTTTCCCAAAGTGTACTGTTGTTGTTTTTTTTTTTTTTTTTTTAAACATCTTAATTATATTCATATAGTTTCTGTTACAAAATGATCATAAAATGTCCCCAAATGCTATTTACAGTAAATTACACTTTACAACTTTACACATATTAAAATGTTAATAAAAAAGTTTAATTGTTTTTGTTTTCAAGAAAAATCATAAAAGCTTTGTTAATATGAACCTGTGCGTATTGCGCCACTTGTAAAACTGGTGTGTGGTGGTTGATTTCTCTGTTTAGATTACTGTCACAGATTGTTGGAGACTGCACTCCTGGTGAATCAGGAGACGGTGGATATTTGAGACCGACCAATCGTGGTTCAGAGCTTGACACAACTTTCAGAGGCCCAAGACATCACCCAGTCACAAAGGTTTTTCACTTATTTTTCCGGGCTTCATATCAGTACAACATAAAAATCCACTGTAAACTGAAGAATACAAGATGCAAGTAAACATGTTAGTTGTAATTAGAATTAAGGAAATATAAAACGTAATGAGAATATACAAAAAATAAAATTCACATTCACACTTTGTTAGGCCTTGGCTTGCCCGTGGTGATGTTGCTGTGCCAATACTAATAACATCTTAGCGATTGTCACCAGTAAAGTATGAGGGATTGAACATCAATGCAGCATTTTAACATTTTTATAATCTCATGGATCATGTTCTTATGTTTTGTTTTGTTTTTCAGCTGTGATACTTTGTATTATTGCTTGATAAAATGGCACATAGGCTTGATTTCCAAAATGAATTCTACAAAGATGAGTTGTGGTAACATCTTAAAGACAAACGGCAAAAGAATGAAATACAGCAAACATCTCGACTTTGGTAAATTTAACTTTCAAAAAATAATTTTAATACATTGTAGTGGATGATAGATAAGCATAAGACAAACCCTTATTTAAAAAATTAACCAAAAAAAAAAATCTTACAATTGTGCTACAAGTGCCACTACCTCCTTGGCACTTGAAGCCACAATTAAGGGAGTGCTTTCAACCTAGAAAATGAAGGGAGAAGGGAGCAGCTCCACAAATTGGTGCCTTGGCTTGTTCCATGCATCCCCTAAAGGGTGACAGTGATGAAGCAAGACCATCTACCATTGTGGATTTTCCCCGACTCCCTTTTCCTCTGTTAAGTGAAACATTCTTAGCAGCCATCTCTTTCATGCAGGTTACCAAGGTCAATCTGAATGCCTTATCATCAACACTAGAAATGTATATACAAAGAATGCACTTTATTTCTGTTTTTTTTCCCCCTTTTCTTTTTTTTAAGACTTGGGTAAAACCCCAGCTTTTTATCCTTGCGTAACAACTTGGCCACACTGCTCCAACTTTCAGAGACTTTCACTAGCCAGTCAAGTCACCAGTCTAAACCCACATATGACACACTAACTGTATACATAAATCCAATTTAATTGAGCCTTTAGCATGTGCAAAAGTTTTAGCATGTGCAAAACTTGCGGCATGATCAGTGACTGGCCAACGGGTCAGTTAAACACAAGCAGTGATCATGGTGTTCTTGCACTCGCTTGCAATTTTAGCATTACAATAAGGCTCTCTTCAATCTGGCAACAATACATGCACCTAATACATGAAATCCCAATCCCATGCTAACTGCATTCTGAATAATAAGATAAGGATTTTCAAGGCAGTTGCACTACAGAATAAGAATAACACTCATAGCAAAAGACCTTGAGTACATCAAACACTGTTCAAATCTGGATCTTCAAAATACGTAATACATTGCTGATTGCCGTGTACATTCACATCTGCCAGCACTATGGTAAATCCCATTAAGACATTAGTGTGTTTTTCCAGTTGATCTGATACTGATTCCTAAACGTGGTATTGAATACAACTTTGTGCTCCTTGTATATTTTCATAATCTATTCCATTAATGTGTGTTTGTGGATTGTTTTAACCTTTCACAGTTTAGCGCAAATGTTTCACAAGATCTCAGGTAAGCAATCTGTAGCCTGTTTGTTTTGGGTTTACACTGGCCTTCGTGCTGATAGTTTAAATATCCCATCATGGATTTAATCAGCCCAGCCTTTCTTCTTAAGGATGTTAAGTGCATTCAAACACAGTGTAGCTGACCACCTAATGAGTCAATTTTAAGGGAGACAGGTGAATGCTATGTTTCATTTGACTAGCACACACTGGCAAAGTTGTGTCTAGAGAATTGCTTTCTAAGTGCCTTATTCGTTTCAACCCACATGGCTTAAATAGCGACGTCCTCAAGTAAAGTGAGAAGCGTCACGTAACTGAACTGTAATCAAAACAGCGCATTCAGATAAATAATTTTCAAGGCCTTCTTACGAGAAAAAGGACATCTCACAATATCCTAAAAGATGACAGTAAGAATTTTAGAATGAACTGAAATTACATAGAAATATGAAAAGAAACCGCTCCACTTTTAAGACTTGCCATGTGAAAGAGGGTATTTTCTTGCTCATTTTTCTTTCAAAGACGTTTCATGCAACAACGATTTCTTTGAACAATGAAACACGTATTTGTTATATGTTCAGTTAAAAAAAGAAGCTTGTTTTACATAGTTTTAAATATACTTCTTTTCCAGGGCAGGCACCGTACGCACAAACCAGGTACAGAGGCATGCCACATACTTGCATTGCTCTTGCATTCTACTATTGGCAGCTGTGATGTCATTGAAGCAGCAAGCTGGTGGGTAGTCCTATTATTTGGTTGACCCCGCCCATCTCACATTCTAAGCCATGCCCACAACTCTCCACACTGCTACTGTGACATCACAGAGGGAGGGAAGTATGGGGGATAGTACAAGCTAGAATGGGAAAAAGGCAGCGCAACAAGACTCCGTGGCGCATGCAGAGATGGGGGTGGGGGTGGGGATGAAGGTTGGGGGACGTAAGGGAGGGAGAGGTCTGGCCCAGGGTTGCAGTTAGATATTCGGATGGGGGTGGGGTTAAAGTCGAGGAAAACTGACGATGTTCATGTTTATTATTTTTTTGTTTTGTTTTTGTTTTTTGCACTACATGTTACTTCTATGTATTTTAAATCACATTTAGTTTCTTAACTTTATACAACATTATGTCACAGATGAGGCTCATTGTGGTTTGTATCTCTCCCTGTGCTGGTACTGTGATAGGAGGGTAGAGACAGAGAGAGATTATGGGTATGTCATAATATATGTATTCAACCATTTTACATATACATATTGAATAGTTGCAGAATATAAAGCCTTATATTGTGTACTTATACAGTCATTTTTTATATATATATTTATCCAAATTTAGATTTGTGCTCGGATTAATTTCTGTTTTATCATCATATTGCTGCTTTTATGCCACCCAAGTTTAATTTGAATACAATTGGAGTCTGGTTGTTTTTGCTTTGTTTGTATTTTAGATATGCATCGGAGGAGCAATATCAGACTGGGAAGCATGACCACAATTCAGCAATTTTGTAGTAAGTATTTTTCCCCAAACCTGAATCGTGAAATTATCCACAAAGTGTACAAAGGTTTAATCAAGTCATTATTAAAGCTTCATCAAATCAGTACACAAATAGATATGTGCTAAAATCGGATCAATTATGTGATACAGATTATCACAGTATATGAAATGTGTGTACTCTTATAATTATTTTTTTTGTAGATTTTAGATTTCAAGTGACTTTTTTTGTAGCACTTCACTGTAAACGTGAATTTCACTGACTGTAACCGCAATGTCAGCCAAATTAAGTGTAGAGAAACGTTTTTTTCCCTATTTATTTCTTTAACATGATGAACATTCATGTTTTTCTAGTAATTTCTGACCTTTGTTGATACTGTGGCACCGAACCTTCTCAAAACAAATAAAGATTATATTGCAAAGTTGTTATCGTAACCTTTTAAACAAGGGGTGCTTAGGGATATAAATCACTGGCTTTATAATAATCACATTTCTAGCTCTTTTTGTTCATCAGTTTGACACAGTTAAAAATTCTGTGCTTTGGACTAAAAATTACAATTCGATGGACTGTTTGACTCCACCAGACTGCTGCTGTTGCAAGTTTCAAACATACTTCCTCAGGAGGAAGGTGGCATCAGAAAAGGTGGATCAAACTTTACTACCTCCTTCCCTCCAGTTCCAGTGTCCACTGGATCATGAACTGTGTTGATAGTGGTCTGTGCTACCCTGTGGATCGGCCTATAGAATGGAGGCAGAGGCAGAATTTAGCTGCCTTGATTTATGTGTTTTAAAGGGATAGTTCACCCAAAAATGAAAATTCTGTCATTAATTACTCACCCTCATGTCGTTTCAAACCCGTAAGTCCTTCGTTCATCTTCGGAACACAAATTAAGATATTTTTGATGGAATCTGAGAGCTGTCTGACCCTGCATAGACAGCAATACAACTGAAATGTTCCCAAGTCCAGAAACATAGCAAGGAGATTTGTGTAGCGCCATTTTGGAGAGTATCAGCTGGATGTAAACAGTGTATGCTGTTCTGTATCAGCTGTGTCATGCCGGATCTGTTTCCTACGTTGTTGTGATTTGATCTGAACGAAAATAGTGTATCCAGGTGACACAGCTGACACAGAACAGCATACACTGTTTACGTCTTGGGAACATTTCAGTTGTATTGCTGTCTATGCAGGGTCAGACAGCTCTCAGATTCCATCAAAAATATCTTAATTTGTGTTCTGAAGATGAACGAAGGTCTTACGGGTTTGAAACGACACGAGGGTGAGTAATTAATGACAGAATTTTCATTTTTGGGTGAACTAACCCTTTAAGGGAGAATCTATCACTGTGAACACATTTACATTTATATCCAATTAAGATCAAATCATTGGGGCTATTCATTTGTTCATGGTGTTTCATGGCAAGATGACCATGAGAAGAAAGAATAAGAGGAGAAACATCCAGTGTGGTCAAAGGAATGAAAGGTTCTGCTAAACCCCCTCAAAAACAATGATCATGAAAATAAGAATAAAAATGAAAATTAATAAAAATAAAGGTTGTAGGAACAGATATGACTTTTAAAAATAGCCCAAAACATAAATAAATAGGTAGAAGAAGAGGACCGGTCAGTGGGTGGTTCAGGGTCATTGCCGGCATTGTCGTTTATATTCTATCTTCTGCGCTCATGTTAACTCTCTGTCTCTCACTCTTCATGAAGCTGCAATCGGTACCGGCTGTAGCGAATCTGGAAGAAGAGCCTCTCCAGCAGTGAACGGGTCATCCCTGGTAGCGTGTAGTCCTCAGTGTCTCCCACTCGCCGGAAACCCAATGACTCGTACAGCTTGTGGGCGGCCATCTTGACTGCAGTTGTTCCCAGAACCACAGCCGAGTAGTTGTTTAACATGGCAAATTCTAGAACACGTCGACCCAGAGCCTTGGCGATGCCTTTACCACGGAAGCGAGAGTCCACTGACATGCGACGGAGTTCCACTGTGTTGTCGTCTTCTCGGCCTTGCGCTGCCACGATGCCCACAACCTGGCCTTGCAAAACTGCCACCCAGAAACAAGAGCCTGTGGGAATCAAAACGAAGAGATTATTCAGTTTTGTCTTTAGAGTAAAACTTTGGCAACTATTTGTAAAATCTAGTTTTCAATTCAAGTGTCTTGATGAAAAACTTAAAGAGTCTGCCCTCCAGGGTCATGCCTCTTTCCATCTGAATGTAATATTCATCATAGTATGGGCTGCTTTTCAACACCTCTCATCATTAGAAGATCAATCAAATCAAATCTTTCAGTTCTAGACTAATTGAAATCCATTCATCTTACATTATATAGAAAATCAATGATTCAGTTTTCAGTAAGATTGGCAAAGTAGCCAATGAGAGGTTATTCAAGCAGCGACCATGCTAATGTTCAATACATGTGCTGCACTGAAATAGTAAAGTGGAGGTAAATAGTTAAGCAAAGTTATACTCTTTTCAAGTATATATTTTATTTTTATTTGTTTGGCACCACATGATCAACCTTATACATTTTTTTAACTCTGAAAATTAAGTTATGTTCATCTGGAGATATATAGTGATGTTGCATTAGTGTGAGTGCAGCTTACAAATAGACTGAGTTCTGAAATGCGAAACCACATTTAAGCACACTGTGTAGCAGTCTGTAATTATGGATCATGCCAGTCAAATTCGATTCCAATTGCCCGGAATTACAGATGCCCAAATGTGCTGTTAATAGAATATAACAGATGGGAGAGATATTTATGATTAGTTCATTGTTAGTTTCACATATTTTTTTTTTACAATGTTTTGTTGTAGGAAGAGTAATAAAATATGTGCGCCATCAAAGGTATTGAAATGTATTGGTGAGTCCCATGATTGACAATTTGTTTTTACATGCTCAAATGCTGTTACCACTGATGACTTGCCTTAATAATTCTCAGAATTCCATGACTTGGGGGAATTTGGGAAGTGTTTTTGGAATTACTGGATTAAGTGCACTTTTTCTTGTTGGGCAAGTCAACTGTCATCTGTAGGTCAGATCAGGACAGGAGCGGAGCACAGATTATGGTATTTCTAATCTTAAACATTCATGCTTGTAAGGCTCGGTTCTGTTCTGCTGAACTAAGTTACTTATGGAGTTGCAGAGAGAAGCGAGGGGCAGGACTGTCACATCTGTGCCACAGAAGCTGCAAAGAATATATACAAAAGGACGGGACTAAACTCCAAGAAAAAACATGTATAAAGGTATGTCTGAACGGATGAGTTTTAAATGAATATTATTATCTTCTATCATGCATACTAATTGTTGTTTTTTTTAAGAATCACGTTTATAACCTAAGGTCTATTAACTTCTGACACACTCTTTTCTATCTCATGGTTCAACACATTCTTAAGCATCTAGTCAACACTATCTTCTAAAATCAGAAAACTATTTATTCTGTGTGTAGAATAAAGTGTCATAAAGAGATTTCATTGAACATCAAGTACAATCACAACATACAATATATAATACTGCATAAGTGTAATATTTATGTAGAAGGAGTTGCAGTCTTTCTACGTAAAAATAGTAGTGCTGAGAATATCATAGTGCCATGTTGTGACATATTGCTACTGTATATCACACAGAGGTGTGTGTGTGTGTGTGTCATAACTGCATTAGCTTCAGGGCTGAGGAGCACTATTAATCACTGTGAGACAACGTCCTGCTGTACACTCATTAGTTTTACCACACACATACATTTGCACAACCCCTCCCCAGCTGTCTGATAAATGCTTCTCTTGTATATGTGCAAGGCCACTAAAATGTAGAAAAATAACATAAGGCAATAATATTTAACTTTTTATGATCATTATTTACATTATTTCCTGCTGAATAGGCAGTTTCACAACACATTAAGGAAATTAAATGTGCCACAAACACCATTTAATTGTCATTAATTACTTGCGGGTAGCATAACAGATCTGCCTGTGTATTTTCACATATTAAAGCGATATCTTCATGCTTTATATTATGGGATGTTTGTTATCTTCCAAGTACCTGACAGAAACTCTGTCCCTGGAATGTCATAAGCCACTCCAAATAGATGTTTAGTGCATTCAAGAAACATCTAGCTCACCTTGGCAGATAACGTCTCAGGTTACTTATGTAACCATGGTTCCCTGAGTAGGGAATGAGACACTGCGTCCTCTAGGGGTCGCTATGGGGAACGCCTCGTCGTGACAAATAACGCATAGATCGTGTGTGTCATCAGATGTTAAACAACGTCAACACGGATGCACACATCCTTAAATGCTTTGCTAGTGCTCGCCATAATGAGATAAATAGAGATCGCTCTTACCACAGAAATGCACGCTTCAAACAAAACAGTCAATGAAGACGAAGAAGAGAATGATGTGTGCTCCCGGCGCCTATTTATACTATAGTCGCACCGGTAGTGACGTCATGGCTGTCGCCGGCCAACAAGTTGGTGTTTTTTCAATGTATGCTTCAGACACGGGTCACGACGAGGCGTTCCCCATAGCGACCCCTAGAGGACGCTGTTCGAAGTTCCCATGAAAGGGAACCCATATATTCTTTTACCATTTCCTCCTCAGATGCAGGATTCCACATTAGCATAGCAAGAGAGAAAATCCCTTGGGAGAATCCTTTGTCTGCATGCTGCCACTAAACAAAACTACCATACATAACTCACAGCGGGGCTTTGATTCTCTCTCTTGAATTCTCCCTTTCATTTGATGTAGGACTAAATAAGAAGCCTGTATGCATAGAAACTGTCTGCAATTAATACTATTTTATGCAAAGATGCATACAATTGATGACAGTAAAGACATTTATAAGGTTTTTAAAAAGATTAATATTTCAAATAAATTGTTTTTTAGCACTAATATTGTGAAATGTTATTACAATTTAAAATAACTGTTTTCTATTTTAATATATTTTAAAATACAATTTATTCCAGGAATGACAAAGCTGAATTTCCAGCAGCCATCACTCAGTGAAACATGATCCTACAGAAATCATTCTAATATGCCAATTTGCTTCCTAAGAAACATTTATTATTAAAGCTGAAAATGGTTGTGTTGCTTAGTATTTTTGTGGAAACAGTAATATATTGTTTTTAGGATTCTTTAATGAAGAAAGTTCATAAGAACAGCATTTATTTTAAAAAGGCATAACAACATACAAGTATAATAATACAATTAATGAAAGTACAGTATTAATTCTTTTTTTTTTTTTTTTTCAAAATCTTACGGAACTTTATGGGAGTGTATCATTTTATGTCACTCTTACGTCATTCCCCAGGGCATGCATGATAGACAATTCACACAGCACCATCAGACACACGCAAAGGGCAACAAACATGTTTTCCAGGTGTTGTCGGATCAGTGTGTAACCCTCGTTGGCATGTGTCACCATTGGTTGGCACTTGTTTTTGCCGGGTGAAGTCTGAGTGAGTGACGTACTTTAATCTGGTGATGGTCGCTATTGTTTTGCCTCCTTCAGTGCAGTGTGAATTGGTTATTATGATGAACTTGCTTTACAGACCCCCATAATTTTTATCTCTAACAGGTAAGGCCATTTTCTTGTAAACCTGTTATGTGTTATATATTTCTAATAATGTCTGGTGACACAGCAGATCTGCCAGACTCATTCTGAGTCAGTAGTGTGCGGAAACAGACACCATACACAGGTCCGGATCTAATATACAGTACACGTGCACTAGGGGTGTAAAAGAGACCCTTTTAAACTTCTAGCGTTGAATTGCAGAAAGCGTTCTGATCAGCAGCATCTGGCTGTTTGGAATGGCAGCTGTTCTGAGTTTGACCGTGAAGTGCTGCAGTGGAGTTTACCATAGGCAATAAATGTCTGTCCTTACACTAACGCTGTCTGAAGAAAGTCCATAGAGTAATAAAAGATTTCAGCCACCCAGCATTCAATCTGCACATGCTACTACCATCTGGCAAACAATTCTAGAACACCAATCATAAACAACTAGGTTAAAGAACCCTTTCTACCTGCAAGTCGTCAGGGTACTGATGAGCCACTAGCTAACCTCCATTATTTTGTCACTTTCCAAGTGTGCTTTTAATATCTGCAGTATTTATTAGTATGTTTACTACTGTATCACAATTGGGGTACATTAAGGATTATAGCTGTAATTCTGAGTTTGCCGCAATACAATAATCAGCATTTTTCCTCCCTTCAATCAATAGGGCCACATGACTCCAAACAGTTATCCTCAAGAGCAGAACTGAGAGAGACTTTCTGCATATTTCATGAGTCTTCCGCATGAAAGCTACACATCAGCTATTCATCCCCTCTTGGACTCCTAAAGTGCAGTATTTAACCTCAGTATCACAGGTACCGATCCTGAGAATATTTGTTCTGGTGAGATAAATGTTTGATTGGGGAAGCTGGTGCATTGTGGGAGACTTATTTCAGTAATTAAATATGAAGTTTATATACGTATTTGAGCCTGTGTGTGTGATTAGCATAAATATATTCACTACCAAGTGCCCATGTGCCATTTGGCATAGACATATTTATACATCATACATTATATATTAAAATATAGTGACTTTTTATATATTAGATGTCAGTGACTTCACCAATACAATTAACTACACACCACAGAATCTGCAGACAAACATTAAATGCATACAGTACCATTCAAAAGTTTGTCAGTAATTTTTTTTTAAGAAATATATATTTTTATTCAGCAAGGACACATTAGATTGATCAAAAGTGACAGTAAAGACATTTACATTGTAACAAAAAAATATATATTTTATATTAATGCTGTTCTTTTGAACTTTCTATTCATCAAAGAATCAAGAAAACTTGAACACCAGATCAGCATATTAGAATGATTTCTGAAGGAACCTTAACATTATTTCAAGTTGAAATTATCTTTTTCTTTTATTTATTGGACTGTAATTTTGATCAGATAAATGCAGCCTTGTTTTTTTTTTTTTTTTAATCTTACAGACCCAAACTTTTGAACAGTAGTTCATATGTGTGTCCAGGTTTGGCTATACTTATGAGGGCCATCTTTTTTTTTAAATGTCCTCACAAATGTAGCAAAACATGTTGAAAACCTAGTTGTGATGATAATTTTGTGTGAATGTGTGTGTGCGCTTGAAATTACGCCTTACCTGTGGGTTTCATGTAATATGTCTCAATGTCAGCCATATCAGTGTGCAGAGCACAGTCCAGGTAGTTGAGAATTACTTTTCTGCTGTAGTAATAACGTGCACCCATTAGAATAAATGGTGCGCAGAAGGTCAGTGTGAAGGATTTGGTCATAACATAGCACATTACTATGGAGAAATGGAAAAAAAATAAACGACACCTGTCAGAAAAGAGAATCAAATGTTTGATTTTTGGCAGAGGAGAGGCAAACAGACATCAAATGTTTTACACACTAGGAGTGTGCAGATACACCCTGAGCAGTGAGATGTAGTGCAAAGTAATTAAACAGTGTATCCTGTTAAAAAAAAAAATCTTTATACATTAGTACGACTTGGAAATTTAATGGGCATGGATGGCGCTATAACAGGGTCTTCATAGATGTAATTAAACCCAAGAAAATCTGAGTATGTCGAGAATGTTGACACTAGATGACGCTCTTGAGAACAACTGACTTGCTGCATTATCCACACACTCCACTGCAACACGATGCGCACTGTTTACTGTCAACACAGAGGTACTTTCAACTCTAATACACTATAAATTGCGCTTACAAAGTCTTTGCTACTCAAGTATTAGCCTTTATGATTCATTTATCTGAGAAACAATTGTCGTACTATGTGTACAGTGATGCAGCGTACTCTAAGCGTATATATTATGTAAGTTTATGGACACTGTTAAAACACCTCATTCATTTCAGATGTGTGGCATAAATGTCATTTCAACGCAGCATAAAAAAGGTTGCTGTCTAGCCAGATCGCCACGGTGCTCGGTTACACCGCCTGCAGTTGAAAACCACTGAACATCATTAGTAAACATGAAAAGGAAATAATCATTAAAAATGATACGTAGCATTAATAGTTAACAATTATCTGTAATCAAAACGTCACATATCTCAACAAACACAACTTCGTGCACTAACATGAGACGTATGTGGGGAACGCTGTGCGCTCGCGCGGGATTCATTCATTCATTCGGCGCGCGCGCACACATGCCGCATGTTCTGGACTGCTGCTGCCTTTGTGACTCCTTTACTCATATATTCACTGGCATTTTAAACGAAAAAAGATTTTAAGATTATGTGAGCGGAGAAAAAAACCGTTAGCTTTTTAGTTTTACGCATAAAATGTCTGAATTGATTAGGCTCATCGTTTTAGTTATATATGAACTTAAACAGCTCAGAGCCTATTTTCACATGTTGCAGGGGAACCCGTTACGCTCATCCTATACCCATAGTTTGACCACTTACCTGTGAGTAAAGCATAGATAAATTGGGTTCTAGTTTGCTGTTTTAGACCCCGAAATGCCGAATTGGGTATCCGCTCCATGATTCCCTCGGTGAAGATCCGGCGCACCTCCTCATGGTCCGAACGTTCAAACTCTCGAATAAAAACCTGGTCCCGTTTTTCAACCTTACTCTCGAACGCACTGGGAGAAGGCGAAGAAGACGTCCACATTTGCGAGGAGGAAACTATAACTGAATCTTTTTTGGTCCCAGCTATGGCCTCGTGTTCGTCTGCAACAATTTTAGTCTCGCAAACCATTTTGGGAGACGAACAATGCATGCAACTGGCCTGAAATGAACTGATATTGGGGAGAAAAAACAAAAGATGGATTATGGTCTTCTTTATTATGGAAAGAAAAAAGACTGATGTATTACTGCAACCCTGAGCTTCCTCACGACCAAGACTTGCCGGTGCATCACAAGTGGTATTTATAATGCGCCAAAGCCGCATTCAGATTCTGGGGTGTGGGTGTTCTCCTCATCTCTCTGATTGGATGCGGCGCTGTGCCACATGACGGCAGTGGGAGGTGAAAATACAAAAGACACACCATAACGTGTCTTTTTGAAACCGTATTTTTGACCCCGTCAGTACACCGGCGAAATTCCTCACATGTTTGTGTTTTGGGGGGAGGGTGAACCCATGGCTTCGTATGATGCGCAAGGTGTCGCCATGAACCCCGCGTGCGATTGCAGTATCAGCAACGTCACGACGATGCTGCGCAACATCAGTCTGCGTTCATCACCGACACCCGGCCTGCACATTTTACAGTGCGTGTGCAAATATTGACGGGTTTCATCTACTGGCAGTTTACCAACATGCACAGGACTGCTTGTTTTACGAGTGTGTGAGTGACACTTTTACTGCACTGCAATGTTTCGCTTCGGTTTAAGTTCCTCCAGCACACACCCCTTTGTTCTTGAGACCCCGGATCACCGTGGCCTTGTACGCTAATTATAAGCGACTTTATGGCTTTTTTTTTATATAACGGCTCTTATGAATATAAGCAATCGTAGGTGTTTTTCGCTTATTCACAGAATACGGTCGTGTATTGTGGGCTTGCGCGTGCTTGAGCCCCAAAGCACAATAAAGTATCAGCGACGGACCACTAATAACAGTTGTGAAATGTTCAAGACTGTTTCTTCCTTTTTACATTTCCCAAAGGTGCATGCGCACGAGAGAGACATTTTTAGTTGTTTAGGTGGCCAATATAAGCTATGTGAGACATTTTAATTATTTTTGTCAAAAGTATACAAATAAAGAAAATATTCTGTTTTAACATAATCTTGTTTAATTTATGACAAGTTTTTGGAACATTAAAGCAGATATTGAAATCAAGATCCAGTGCTCCTCAGTTTTTAAAAGAGTAGAGTAGTGCCTACGAGAGATGTGGGATATTAAATACTTTTTTTTGGATTCCCTCATTTACAACATGAAGTGCTCTATTTATCCTTTATCCGTTTTCTACCACAAGAATAAACACTCCTTGCATGCTACATGTCCAGATTACGTCAATGTCTCGTTTTAAATGTTTTGGGTGTACTCCAAAGTAACTGATGCCCTAAAGAAATCGCCTCGATTTGAATAAGGTCGCATTCCAGCCGTATTGTACAAAACTAGTTTAGACTGGATCGCCTCCCGCCCCTCACCCAGACCCCAGCCCTCAAGACGAAAAGAGGCGTCTTTTTTTTCTAAATGTTTGAGCAGGTGTATCTTACATGCGCTATAATACGAAATCGACGTCCCTCAACAATTGAAAAAACGGAACGCGCGCGTTTTACAGCTCTAGTGAAGATACGGTCTTTTCTCAGCATCAGCATCTGCGTGCACGCGGGCAGTCTGGTGCAAATGGGCATGCGCGCGTTATGCAGAGAGTAGGCTGAGCAATGAACAGCACTCTTCCGCGATGCCTTCATTTTATCGGCATATAGTTACTGTGAAGATGATGTCAGTTCGAAAATGTACACTGTAAAAAAAAAACACAAATGTACTTGTAATTAATGAATCTATTCATTTTTTACAAAATTCGTTAGTACAAAATGTAATATACTGAAATGTTTTTACAGATTTTTTTTTTTACAGTGTATTGTCATAATGTTTAATATACAGTATAAAGGTAGGCCTATATAGGGTTTATTTGAGGAAATAGTTGTGCAGATGAAAGCTGTGTTTGTGTCTTTCAGCTCCTTCTGAACTCGAACAAAACTTATCACAATATCTTGTCACAATATTTTACAATCCAGATCACTTACCTTAAAGGGATATTGATCCAAAAATGAAAATTCTGTCATCATTTACTCAACTTCCCACTTGTTTCTTTCTTCTGTTGAACACAAAAGAAGATATTTTGAAGAATGATGGTAACCAAACCGTTAACAGTCGACTTCCACAGTATGGAAAAAAAATATTAACAATACCTATTTATGCATATATGTATTTATGTATGTATGTGTATTTTATGTAACATTTATATAAAACATTTTATATAATTATATAACATTCATATGGTTTCTCTAAATTAATAGAAAATATCATAATTTAATTGATTAATTAACTCAACTAATTAATCAGAACTCAACACATCTACTCCTAAAAAGTGGTTTAATTGTTGGTTCCTTTTGAATCAGAGTATATGAAGACACATGTCTCTCCTTCCATTGTCCTTATTGTGTAACTTGACCTTTGACCTCAGCAGTCCAGAAGGAAGTGGTGACCCCGAATGTCAGCTGGCACAAAATATGCCAATGGACCCTTTTCACAAGACTGTGATGATGCGTTTAACGGTCATCAGCATCGTAAATCCTCGAAAGTTTTTCATATTTGTATATTTTTTTTAAATGTATGTACATTTATAACACTATTCTTTGTATTATATCACCTTTGCATCAAATTACAAAAAAAAAACAGTTAACGCTAATGTGAGGGTGTTTCTAATGCAGCGTCTATGGGAGGGATGGTAAATTTGACATCGTTCTCTCTTCTGACTGCCGTTATCAGTCTCTCTCAATTTTTTTCTTTTTATTGAAAGTCATGAAAACACTATCGTGGAGTTTTTCTTTTACTGCTATGAGAAAATGGGAATGCAAAAAATATATTTGTGGTACTCTCCCATTCACTGCTCTTCAAGTTAACCCAACTATGACGACTTCCGCTGCTGAGAAACCCAGAAATGTGAAAAAGGTCCATTGTGGGCTCCAATTTGCAGTAACCCTTGACCTTTCAGGTTCTCAGAAGTCGTAATAACTAGCATGTGTGTGGCAAGAGTTGTGGTGTGTGTGTTTTTTGTTTTTTTTTGTATTTTATTATTTTTTTTTATTTAGTATAATAAATTTGTTCCTCTCTCACTAATATAGTACCTGCTCAGGGTGCGACTTTGAACACTGGGAATATAGATCCTAAGAGACTTAGGTCAGTATTCTCATATAATAAGCACTCATAAGCTCATCTGAGACTCATTAAAGGACTGAGCTGAGGTCAGTTCTTTTAATCTCTTAGTCTGTGTATTGTAAAGGCAAATCACTAGTGCACTTTCATTAAAAAAAAATCATGTTTTTAAATGTTTCAATGATAATTAACCAATTTATTTATTGCACATTCATTGTAAAGTTGCAGTGTTTGAATTTGTGTACTTGTATAAGTTTAAATAACACAAATATTAGTGAGCTATCCTCATGCATGAGTGAATAATCTATGGCTGCTTTGTTCCCAGTGATTGTTATAATGACTGATGGCCAGGGCCCCCCATGAATGGATGTGTGTGCGTGCGTTTGTGCACGTGCGCTAGTTTGTGATCCAGGATTGGCAAGGTTTGTGCTGGTGGGTCAGTGGGTCTATGAGTAACACTCCTCAATTTTCTGCAGGGTGTAGAATTAGCATTGCTCAACTTAACTTGTTTCTGCAAAAATGAGTAATGGGTTAATGGTAGCTCCAGGGCTTAGTGTGCCATTCTGTCTTTCAAGGAAGAAATTAGGATTGTGTTTCATATAGTTATTTTTTAAATAAATAAATAAAGCACTGACAGAACTACTCTGTTACCAGTGTATTTATTTATTTAGTTATTTATTTATACAAAAGCTAAACAAATCAAAAATCTAAACACAAAAACAGCATTTTGGTTATGCCCTGTCAGGTATAAACTTATTTCAGTTATGAACACAGAAGTCAATTTTCCATTATGAACACTAAATTCATTTCATATACTTCTTTACGGTACCTTAGTTAACCAAATTTACTATGGAAAAAAGAGATAACATAACTTAGTAGGTCTGTTCAATGTGCAAATCTTTTTGCATTATACATTTGTGTGTGTCTGAAATGTTTGGATTTGTTTTGCCTGATTATTCGGTCATTAGACTTCATTGGACTTTATGTTTGAGCTGCTTTCCCTCCAGCTGTGCGTGAGAGTAATAGGTCAAGAATGGCAAACATAATCTGTCTTGATATTTTTTCTTCCTCTATAATTGTTTGTTTCTTGTCCTTTTGATTTTCAACAGAACAATTAGTCGGTTTTGGAGTCAGACCAAACAAATTTGTCAGGGCAACTATAACTATAAACTATTGCTCCGTAAAAATACTTATTTCTGTGATGATTTATTTCTTCAAAAATAAATAAATAAAATTAGATACATAATAGTATATTCATAATTATACTCATGAATAATTATATGAATTCATAATTAAATAACATTAGTATATGGTAATATGTGATTAGTTTATCATGATTAGAAGTACTTCAGAATAGAAAGGAACTAATACAGACGGGACTACTTTTCCTCACAGAGCTTTACTAGTAACAGAGCAAGAGGAAGTGGGAACTGGCAGGAAACCAGCATGTGTTAATGGGTTGAATTTGATGCCCTGTCCTCTGATCTATCAACTGAACACACAGCACTATGAATGGTGTTCACCAGAACCACATAGGTAAGGTGAGGTCCAACCAATGTGACCTTTTTGTGTTGCTTGTTGTAAATATCATTTTATTCTCAGATTTTTTTTTATTTAGTATAATAAATTTGTTCCTCTCTCACTAATATAGTACCTGCTCAGGGTGCGACTTTGAACACTGGGAATATAGATCCTAAGAGACTTAGGTCAGTATTCTCATATAATAAGCACTCATAAGCTCATCTGAGACTCATTAAAGGACTGAGCTGAGGTCAGTTCTTTTAATCTCTTAGTCTGTGTATTGTAAAGGCAAATCACTAGTGCACTTTCATTAAAAAAAAATCATGTTTTTAAATGTTTCAATGATAATTAACCAATTTATTTATTGCACATTCATTGTAAAGTTGCAGTGTTTGAATTTGTGTACTTGTATAAGTTTAAATAACACAAATATTAGTGAGCTATCCTCATGCATGAGTGAATAATCTATGGCTGCTTTGTTCCCAGT